AACAATCTTTAGTCCATATCCTTTCATCTATCCTGTCTTTGTGAGTCTAAAGTTTTATATGTAACTTATCTTTTATCATAACTAAGGAAAACTATAGCCATAACTGTTAGTTTTCAACTCCATCATGCAGACTACAAGGGAAGTTCCTGAAAGCCTCACTTTGCTAAGGACTTTATCTGCAGTATCCTCACAGGAGCCTCTGTTGATACTGTCCCCATTTCTGTGATACTTGAGTTTGGCTCTGGACTTGGCTCCAACACTCTCTGCTCAAGAAATGAAAAGTCAGCCCTCCAAGTTTCCACAATCATAAAGTGGTCCTGAAACTCTTGCCCTAGGTCAGTCAAAGTTTGAAGCTTGAAGCTGTACTGCCAATCCATGTATTTGAAAGGGTTTCGTATTTCCTGGTACAGAGGATCAGAGTTTTGCCCTCCAACAGGCTTCACCGCACACGCACCACACACACCACACACACACACACACACACATACATATGAGCACACACGGGCACTGCATACATGCACACCACACGCACTCACACATACACACACACACATACACACACATGCACATGCACTCACATACATATGAGCACACAGGGCACTACATACATGTACACACCACACATGCACACACACACTCACATACATACATGCACACACCACATACACACACACACATACACACATATACACTCACATACATATGAGCACACACAGGCACTGCATACGTGCACACACCACACACATACACACACATGCACGCACGCACACACACACACACACACACACAGTCATGCGTGGTTGCATAATAGAAAGGTGAGGGTCTAATTAATCTTTTCAAGACTGGGTTGGGACTTCCCGAACAATAGGGCGGCTTGGGCAGTCTTGGGATTGCACTTCTCTCTTAGAAGCCACTTCCAGACCTCTCATTAGGAATCCCTGAGGGGACCCCTGCTGCATTCCTCACAGAGGCTATGAAATTCAGGAGGCCATGAGGCCAAGGGAGGAAGGGCGAGGTCCTGAGACCATGCTCAACATGAACACTCTGGCATTATGAACCTCTTCAAGGACTGATGAATGTTCTATTTAATGGGCTCCACACTTTCCATTGCCGTTCAGGAGACCAATGACTGGGTACTCTTTCCAGTGTACATGAGACACTTCCATGAAACAGGAATTTTCTTGTTTGCTCCTGTGTATACACTTAACTAATAAGCTCCTGTACTTTTAAGTATCGATTTGGAATACATGGAGAAGTCCAGGACTAGCCAGCAGTGTAGCACATGAGTTTAATCCCAGCTCTTAGGAGGCAGAGACAGGAAGATCTCTGTGAGTTCAAGACTAGCCTGGTCAACAGGGAAAGTTCCAGAACATCCAGGGTGACAGAGTGTGACCCTGCCTCAAAAACGAAACAAACAAGAAGTCTAACACTAAAGTCCTTGTTATTGGTCATGGTCAGGGAGTAAATGAAGCAAAGGAAATTAGACTCAGGGGTTTCATTCTGAAAAGAAAAAGGGGAGGTATACAAATTATAGGATAAAACTATAGATAACTGAATGAATGTACTTTCAAACTAAAAGAGCAACTACTAGTTTCATATATTTTACATTGATATAAATATGAGGTTTTTTCTGTAGTGTATATATGTTTCTACTCTTATTTAAGATGTTTTTGTATATTGATAAAACATTTAAGATTACTTTTGTTATATTATATGTTTTTATTTCTTGCTTAAGGTATTGTATCTATGCAGCTCACTTAAAAATGTAACATAAAGTTCTAGTCCTCGAAAGATATTTAGGATAATAAGGAAATGTAGGTTAGTAGTTAGTCATCGATAACAATCAAACTTATAATCATGTTAGACATGTTTTCAAGGTCAATGAGAGACATATTTTAGATAAACAGGTAGTCTTCAAACACTTCAGAGACCTACAGAGTATGGCATTTCAATGTTTTATTGACATGGGGCTTTTCATGACAGTGACACAAGGATGCTCCTGACAGCATCTGTTGACTTCTAAGGAGGATGATGGGCATCAAAGACCCTCCATATGGAGCTTGCTTTCATTTGTGGCAAAGTTAGCCACTGGGCAAGAAACTGCCCTTGCCTCTAGAAACTACCCTTGCCTCTAGAAACTTCCCTTGCCTCTAGAAACTGCCCTTGCCTCTAGAACTGCCCTTGCCTCTAGAAACTGCCGTTGCCTCTAGAAACTGCTGTTGCCTCTAGAAACTGCCCTTGCCTCTAGAAATTGCCGTTGCCTCTAGAAACTGCCCTTGCCTCTAGAAACTTCCCTTACCTCTAGAAACTGCCCTTGCCTCTAGAAACTGCCCTTGCCTCTAGAAACTGCCCTTGCCTCTACTGCTTACAGTGTGCTGTCCAAATTGGATAAGCAGGACACAAAAGAAGGCAGCTGTCAAACTTCGCCAAGACAAGGTAGGACAGTCCTTCACAATTCCTGCTTCACAGAAAAATTTGTCAAATATTTTAGGTCTGCAGGCAGAAAATGGGTGCCCCCACATTGCAGAGGAACCTTGGGTTAACTGTCTAGGCAGCCAGATTTCTCTGCCATTTCTTAGTTTTGGAAGTTGCTTGCTCTGCACTTCCTGTTTACTCAGGTAATATTATATCCTTCTTGGGTCTCTGTATCAGAGAAATGGAAGACAACCATAATTACAGTTTTTCTTAGTTATGATAGAAATAAATTAAGTACAAAGCTTTGGACTCATCTAGATAATAGAGTAATTTCTCCAATTTTTTCTGTTTTTTATTTAAATTAGAAACAAGCTTGCTTCACATGTCAATCTCAGCTCCCTCCCTCCTCCCCTGCCCCTCCAGTCCCCCAGCCCCCACAATCCCCACCCAGTTTCCCCAGGGAGGGTGAGGCCCTCCATGGAGAATCTCCAGAGTCTGTCATTTCATTCAGGGCAGGGCCTAAGCCCTCCCCCAAGAGTCCAGGCTGAGAGAGCATCCATCATTGTGGCATGGACACCCAAATTCCATTTGTATGCCAGGAATAAATACTGGTCTACTGCCCAAGGCCCCATAGATAGCCTAGGCCTCCTCACTGACATCCACACCCATACACCTATGAACACCTGATCTTTGACAAAGAAGCTAAAACTATACAATGGAAAAAAGAAAGCATCTTCAACAAATGGTGCTGGCATAACTGGATGCTGGCATGTAGAAGACTTCAGAGAGATCTGTGTCTATCGCCATGCACAAAACTTAAGTCCAAATGAATCAAAGACCTCAACATAAATCCAGCCACACTGAACCTGTTAGAAGAGAAAGTGGGAAGTGCCCTTGAACGCATTGGTATAGGAGACCACTTCCTGAATTTCTCCAGTTTTTACATACAAATGGACTGGGCATTGTGAATGCAATTCTTACTTAATAATTGTTTTGTATGTAATTTTACTGTTCTGGAGTTAAAGTCTTTCCCTTTTACTTAGACAAAAGGAGGGAAATGAATGTTTTGGGATATTTGTACACTGTGTGAAATGTTTTGCTGGGATTGATGGAATAAAAAGCTGGATGGCCAGTAGCTAGGAAGGAGGTATAGGCAGGACTTCCAGAGACAGAGAGGACTCTGGGAAAAAGAGAGGTGGAGCCACCAGCCAGGTGTGGGAGAAGCAGCATGGAGAGATGATCAGGAAGCCACACGATAGACCATAGGTTAAAATGCATGGGTTAAGGTGTAAGAGCTAGTGGGACAAGCCTAAGTTAAGGCTGAGCTTTCACAGCTAATAATAAGTCTCCGTGTCATTATTTGTGAACTGTCGGTCCCAAGGAGAAAGTCCTGCTACAACTCCCAGGAAAAATCTACTTCATCTGAAACCTCTCCTTCTTGAGCATACAAAATAAAAAGAAAAATAAAAAAGAAAGAAAGAAAGAAAAGAGTGAAATAAGGAAAAAATAACTCGGTAGCTGAAATAACAAGCCAATACTCAACACATCAGTCTTTACAGCATCCAGACAGTCAGAAGAGATGAATAAAACAAATCGCCTCCCTCTAGGGATGGTACTTTCCATCACCAACAGCACAGAAACCACTCACACCACACTCTATACCCAAAGGAAAACACTCTGATCCCACCCTCCTTGGGAAAAACATTGTCACTGAAGGACTATTTCCAGTATTCTCACATATTCACATTCAGGAAAACATGGTACAATTACCTAGGTGGCGCTGTGCCTGCTGGTATAACCCTGCCATTCCAGCACTCTAGGGGTGGAAGCAGGCGAATTAAGAGTTTGAGCCAGCCTGGGCTACGAGACTCTGTCTCAAGAAATCGATAGAAATAATGATGCATGTAGATGTGTATGCTGGAAAGTCAGGCTGGGTCAGAAACTGTTGGACGTGAGTGCCATTGGGGCCACTGATGTCTGTGACAATGGACAGGGTGTTTAATTCCTTAAGCATGAGGGTGAGGTTGTATTTGCTTTCACCTTCTGTGTTTTTGACATTGAGCTGGGGTGAAATTTAAACAGAAATATTGATGCAAAATTCCTATTTCACCACTGGCTCTCAAAAATATAACATGGTACCTTCATACAGTATATGGCCTACACCATATTACATATAGTATAAGGTATGTGTTTCATGAGGATGCAAAAGACTATATAAATTTGTAATATGCTGCAATGCCTATTTAAATCAGTCTAGTAGATTACACCTGAATCATTATATATATGCATATGTATACATACATATATACTGTTTTTTATTCATACTGACCTCTTAAGACAAATTTGAAACGATAGTGTTGGAACACAAATCACAAATCGGATTGCAAAAAAGGTTTTCCAGAAACAGCAGATGCTCACAGAAAGACTTCATAGAGAAAATTTTGCTAGTGCTTAGGTTACAATAACCTTAGGTCGGGTGACTGGAAAGCAGGGGGAAGAAGTTTGCCTCCTGCCTGGGGGCTGGGGGCTTTGCTTCGGATAAGCAGGAAACAATATGAGTCACTTTGAATCAGCAAAGACCTACTTCCGTGCAGAGTTAGGAAAGTGAGTTCCATTCTAGCAAGCCACAAAAGCGGTATTGCGTCTGTGAATAACTCTGCTTGCTTTAAGTGGACTTTAGGGAGGGAGTAGGGCTCTTGGGAATCTGTGAGTGCCTCTGCTCTGCTCAGGATGGGCGGTTTGCTAGAAGCTTGAGGGAAGCATGGGAAACAATCTAAAGGAAACTAAGCCATGCCCTCCAGCACATTCCACAATCTCCCGAAGAACTAATGCCTCGAGCAACCTTTATTGATTATCAGCTGGGGACACACACATATCGTGCATTGATTTATTCAGTTCCGTAACAACCCAACCTGAAGCATCTAGGAATCTGGCAAGGAAATTCTGCAAACAGCATTGGACTTTCGTGCCTAACTGAAGACCCACGGCAAGAAGGCCACAGCCCTCCTTTTGATGCCTCCTGTACTAGTCTCAAGTCCTCTCCTACAGAGACTCAAAACAGGCAACTTTCGTCCAAAGGTAGTCCGGTTCAGGTTGCGTAAACCTGTCTCCCGGGATGTTGGAAGAAGCACGCTCTCCACTCGCTTGGCAGGCACGGGCGGCCTTCCGGGCTGTCCTCGGGGACCTTGCCCGCCCCGCGTGGCAATTGTGCAAGCATAGCTTGCGGGCTGCTGCAAGGCCGGCTGCAGCCTGCAGGAGGGCAGGGAGGTGCGCTCTCAGAGCACCCGCTGAACCCTGGGCTCGATGCCCGTTTCTGGATTATCTCCGGGGTGGAGTTCACTGTGTGCAGAGTGTGGGTCACCCAGGCCTAGGCGCCCTCACTCACCTTGCTGACTCCATCCTCTTCTCACTCCCGCCCCTCCACGTTCCTCCCAGCTTTGCCAGCAGGTCCCCCTCCGCCCAACTCAGGGTGCTCATTGGCCATCCTAGCATGCCCTGTCTCCATAAATACGAGGTCCCTGTGCCTGGGAGCTTGAGGAGGCACACCGAGGTACATCAGACCCGGCGACATCGCTTCTACCCTCCTTCACACCCTGCGACTTCAGAATTCAGATTTGCAGAACCACAGAGGACTCTCCTCAGAGCTACCGCAGCCCGGCCAGCCGCTCTTCTCCAGACGCTGTGGCTGGCTCAGGGCAGGCATCTGCACCTTAAGCGGCTGAACCTTACAGCATCCCTGAGTATCTTCCTCTCCGAAGTCCCTCCAGCTCTGTACCTCTCCACCACAGCCACGGGTTCTGTTGGCCTGTCTTTCTCAAACCGACAAGACTTCAGGACCCAACAGCACCTCCAAAACACTTCACCCCTTTCAGTCCCTGCCCCTCCTCGCGTCCCACGTGTCTCCTGCTGCTATGAGCTGCCCTGTTGACAAAAGGCGTTCCCTGATGGCCTTCCTGAGCCGGCTGCGAGACCTCGGGCAGCCCCCTAGATCCGTGACATCCAAAGTGTGCGCTTCCAGCGCGCCAAAAGAAGTGCCCCTCTGCCCTCTGGTAGAAGGTGGCGAGAGTCGGGGCACCACCTCCCTACCTGGACCAACCAACTGGCCACTGGTAGGCAGTCTGCTGGAGATTCTTTGGAAAGGTGGTCTGAAGAAACAACATGACACTCTGGTAAATAATTTGTCACGCCCCCTCTTCTCTATTCCTCCGGGTCGGGGTGGCCCGGGGGTGGTGCGGGGAGGGGGGTCTCAGGTGACCCGCAGCAGCTCAAAGAAGAGGCGCCCCTGGCACAAGAGGGTGCGCGCTGATGGCATTTGGCCCGCTCCTCTGCAGGCAGAGTACCATAAGAAGTACGGCCAGATTTTCCGGATGAAGCTGGGCTCCTTCGACTCGGTGCACCTGGGCTCGCCGAGCCTGCTGGAAGCTCTATACCGTACGGAGAGCGCGCATCCTCAGAGACTGGAGATCAAACCCTGGAAAGCCTATCGGGACCACCGCAACGAGGGCTACGGGCTGCTGATCCTGTGAGTGCCCTCTGCAGGGTGGAGGCGGTGGGGGGCAGGCGGTTTAATCCTTGAATTGTAGGGTAGACGTGCCCCCTCCCAAAGAGCCATACAGTCAGGGGATGCACACATGCCTGCCTCCCCACCAGGACACACCAAAAGCTCCAGTCCCTTTTGTTTGAGCTATACCTTCCTGGTGTCGGGCAACATTTAAACCCTAGTGTCAAACTAAGTGTTTTAACACTTACTTGACAATTTCACGCGTGCATATAATGTATACGCGTTCTCATCTGTGTCTTCTCTTTGATCCGACACCCACTCCCGCTGAGACGCTCCCTGGTCCCAACAACTCCCCACCTTATTTCCATATCGTGTGTTTGTGTTTATGATTACCCGAGGCTGCTTGCACGAGCATGAATGGCGTTATTTAGAGCTTTGCCAACGTGTCGGAGCCTACACCACAGAAGAAACATGACTAACCCTTCCCCAGCAACTGTTAGCAGCCACCAGCTCCCTCCAGGGAGCTGAACGATGCTGTGAGCCCCTTCTCGGGTCCATAATGGACAGCCGCGAATATTCATGGGGTGCTGAGATTCCTGAGAATTTTCCAGGCGACCTGCAGGGTTAGTTTATTCGGGTGCTCCACGAATCCTCCAAGCTTCTTTCCCAGCGCCCTAAACGCGATCCTTCTGCACAGGGAAGGAAAAGAGTGGCAGAGGATCCGCAGCGCCTTCCAAAAGAAACTAATGAAGCCGGCGGAGATCATGAAGCTGGACAGTAAAATCAATGAGGTTTGCGCACTGGGGCCAGCTTTCCCTGGGCTTCTCCGGGACCGAGAACCGCTAATTAGGCTTTGGGTCACATCTCTAAAGCACAGAGAGAATAACCATGCATCGCGGGTGGTTCAAGGGGGGTTGCTGTTCCCTCCAGCCTTCACTCCATGCTCTTGCCCACCTCCACCCCCACCCCCCCCAGCTACCTTCCTTTCTCTACTCCAAAACCTTCTAAGCCCCCGCGGAAGGAACAATTACAAGCCGACTTTGCCGTCCACGGCTTTCCACCAGCTACTGCTGAGATCCCGGTGTTATTTAACTTTCCTAAGCAGGTTTCCCAGGTTTTAGAGCCCCTAGTTCACAATGAGAGCTAACGGAGATAATGCTTGTAGAAGTCCTAGATGGCACCGTTTGAGGGGAACTTTGGAGTAGAAGCAGAGAGGCAAAGAATTGGGGTGCAGGGCACTCCTGTAGACTAGTCTTCTGAAAATGCAGAGGAATGAAATGGCATGATGTGTCCAGAGATCTCACATTCCATGCAGATGAATGATTTAGAAAAGATACTGGACAATGGGCAGACCTTACCCTAGAGATTGATTTTATGCCACGCTAAAGAACTTTAATAACAGCATTTAGCCAACAGAGAGCCACGCCACAGGCTTAGGCATATAGTAATGTCCTTTTCACTCTTGTTCACATTGGAGGTTTTTTTGAGTTGGACCTGGACCCAGATGGGCTCATACAGCATAGACTTTGCAAACTTAGGAGCTCCTCAAAGCCAGATAATATAACACGGTAATGTGAGTCCCAAGTAGGACGTTTATCAAGTAGCATAGATAAACCTTTTCTAGAGAGAACAGCTGCTCCAGCTAGCTCCTGTTATGTGGGGGTGCACACCCAGTGTCACCTGGTAGTAATAGAGACAATACTAACAAAACAGGTTGTGGGAAATCCATAGATGTTATAAAATCTCTCGTTATTTTTTTCTTTTTTCTTTGAGACAGGGCTTCCTTAAGTAAACCCTGCTGGCCTGGAATTTACTACGTAGAACAGGCTTGCTTCAAACTCATACAGATCCACCTGCCTCTGCCTCCCTGTGCTTGGGTTAAAGGAGTGAGTGAGCCCCTGTGCTCAGCTTTATTTCGTTCTTTTTTTTTTCTTGGCTTTTTTTAAGGTAACAAATTCAAATTACTTTTTAAAATGCATTACGTAAGCAAGCTAAACATGCCCACTTGTTACCTGTAGGCCTTAGGACCACTCACCCCCTTCTGTCAGGTATATCCTGGCAGGTCACCAGTTATGTAAACAAGTGACTTAGCATCTCTAAACAGTTTCTCATCTGTGCCTCCTGCCTTGTGAGGCTGTAGTGGTCCGGGTCACACCTCACCAGTGTGAGGCTTGAGTCACCTCAGGCTCTGGTTTCCGAGTCTGGCAGCTAGAGACCTTGTATGGCTGTCCCAGAGTTGCAGGTCTATCTACTGAGGGAGCTCTGTCCAGGACTTGTAGGTTTCCTGCTCCAAATTCCACATACTTCACACAAGCAGCTGGTGGGAAGACAGGCTTCGGACCAGATGCAGAGTTGTGAAATGGAGGTACTGCTCCAGACGTCACCACAGTCCCCGAGCTGCTGATCCACTCAGTCTGACTCCTCCCTCATGGCTCACCCATCCAAACTGCCCAGAGAGGGTGCATTTCTTCTTAGAGTATCAGAGCCAGAGCTGAGGAAACGGCTCAGCCAGTAAAGTGCTAGCACTCTGGCTATGGAGACCTGAGTTCAAATCCCAGCACTGGTGTGTGTGGGGGATGGGGGATAGAAACAGGAGAACACCTGGGAGGGGATCATTGGACAGCCAGGTGAGCCAAATTTCAGAGCTCCAGGTTCAGTGAGAGACCCGGTCTCAAAAGTTAGAATAGAAGACAACTGAGGTAGACACCAATGGTAGCCTCTGCCCTCCACACATGAGCACATGGACACATGCCACCCACCCCCACACACACATACATACATCACACACATCTCTCTCTCTCTCTCTCTCACACACACACACACACACACACACACGACAACTGTGGGAAAATACCCTTAAGATGAGCCTGAACCTACAGGAAGAGCTTAGGAAAGGGCGAGGGGCAGACCTGGAGAAGACAGTGTGTGCTTGGTGCCAGTCAGCACCAGCAGCAGAGGTCCGCTCCAATGAACCACCCAGTTTGAACTTTCTCTGTCCCTCCGGTGACGTAAAGATGTGCCTCCCATGTTCTTTCTTTTAAGGTCTTGGCTGATTTTATGGGGAGAATGGATGAGCTGTGTGATGACGGAGGCCGCATCAAAGACTTGTACAGCGAACTGAACAAATGGTCGTTTGAAAGTAAGTTGACTTTATAGTCTTGTTCACTTATCTTTGCAAGAGATCTGGGGGACAAAACTCAGCACTGCTTACACTTCCATAGCGATAGGTTGTCACCACTATGACAAGGTTGTAGAAACCCATTTTAGTTATGACTTGTAGTATAGGTTGTTCATGAAGTCATCCAACAAACATTTATTAAACAATTTCTAAGTGTCAGGCACTTGAAAAGCATTAGGGACTATGGCGAGGAACAAAGTGAATCCTGTCTTTGGCTTCACAAAGCTATAATTCTATAGTGACAAATACAGGTAAGGACATTTAAAGGACTAAGAAGGAGCAGAAGCATGGGCCTTCCTGAGAGGAGTCCTCTTCACTGAGGAGATGAAGGTCAGGAAAAGGGGATGTTAAAAAGGCATCTTTGGAAGAGTGTCCCAGACAGTGCAGTTGGGCATTCAAACTGTCCTCTCCCCGCCCACAAACAACAGCAGCTGCCTCTGCACTCTACCCAGAGACAACAGGGAAACCTGGAGATAAACATAGACTCATTGAGAAAGCCAAGAGAGTGCTGAGGAGATAACTCAGTGGAAAAGGGTTTGTGGGCAAGCTTGAGGACCTGAGTTCAAATCTCCAAAACTCACACAAAGTCAGTCACAAGAGCACAACTCTGGAACCCCAGAGCTCCCAGAAATGATGTCCAGAGAGAGGAGAGAGAGTCCCTGCCCTCCTCTCTCACTCTTTGAAATTTTGTTTTCCTTCTAGAAGAGACCACAGTATCATGAGACACAGAACTCAGTCTTTAATAGCCAGCTAATCACAGACTCTGGCAGGGCTTCGATCAAATAACAATAGTGATTATTTCCAATGACAGGCATCTGCCTTGTGTTATATGAGAAGAGATTTGGACTCCTTCAAAAGGAAGCTGCAGAAGAAGCTCTGACCTTCATTACAGCCATCAAGACGGTAAGCAGTCGCTCTGGACAGCTTAACAGAGATTGTCCACAAGGAGGAGTGAGAACACACTTCAGTATTTTAGTTAACTCATTCACTTTGATGTCTCTATTTTAATATATACATGAGCATGAGCACCAATCGCGAACATACAAAAAAGTCCATTACTTATCAGTTTAGGCAAAGTTAATTTACTACAAAAATTATTTCAAAAAATTATTTCAAATGTACTTAAGTTATTTTGATTAATGGTCAGTTGGTTGAAAGGTCTTTTTTAAAGTCTCTGAATGTTTCAGATTTTACAGTTTTGAATGGTTTAAGTAATTTGAGATATCAAAGACACAGTGAAATTGATTTGGGATTAACTAATATCATGTGGTATCTAGAAACTTGAGTCAATGAGCAAATCATAATTTTCCAGTTCTTTCTTTTTCCTTTTCAATTAGACCATTAAAAACTGGGGCTTGTTGGAGGGAAAGGGAGAGGGACCTGGAACTGACTTGTGAAGCAACCTTGTTTCTAATCTAAATTTAAACTGAAAAGTAAATAAAAAAAAGGAAAAAAAATCCTTCATCCTGTGCTCCTAGTGGGACACTCTGTATGTAAATGTATATTTGACAAAAATAAGCTTAGAGATTTTCATTATGAGATACAATTAACTTGCTTTACTGCAAATGATGATTTATTGGTTTAAGCATATTAATAAAAGCTTATCTTGAGCTGAGAAAAAAAACGGGCTGGTGGCACAGGCCACTTGGTTGAGGTGCGGAAGTAAGATCATTACACATTTTAAGCTACTCAGTTTGGGCTACACAAGAGCAAACCAGACAATGTAATGATACTTTGTCTCAAAATAAAATAAAATAGTATAAAAGGGATACAGTGTGGCTCTGTAGTGGATGCCTTTTTAGCAACAGCAAGGCCCTGAGTTTGATCCCCAATATCTCACACCACACACACACACACACACACACACACACACACATACACACACACACACACACACACGGACCCCGCCCCCTCCAAGAGAACACTGGCTTCGAGAGAAGAATCCAGGGTTCAAGTTCTTGGGTTTCTTCCAGATGATGAGCACGTTTGGAAAGATGATGGTGACCCCCGTGGAGCTGCACAAGAGCCTCAACACCAAAGTGTGGCAGGCGCACACTCTGGCCTGGGACACCATTTTCAAATCAGGTGAAAGACTCTGCCTTCCCACTGCCTGCTACTATGCAGTTACCCCGACCCTCTGCCCAGGAGAGGCCCCCTGTAATCCACCTGACTGCGCAGTCATGATCTTCCTGCAGTGTGACTTCCACTCTACAGCTTTCCAAACTCACGAGCACAGTGGGGGGTGGGGTGGCAGGAGACTCTCTACAGTCCACTCTGCAAGCCTAAGGTGGCTCAAGGAAGAACTCCAGCGGCAGACTTGAGTTCATGCGTGGTGGTTTAGCCTTTCCATCCTTGATTGCTCCGTCTCTAAAATAATGAATGACAGTAATTCCCACTTGGTACAACTTTTAGTGTCCTAAATATCAGGCATAATATGATATTTTGGTGGTTAGGGCTATTTCTACTCCACGACACGGGGTGTTAGCAGTCCTGTATATCTTTAACCTTTATACAAACCCACACAGTCAACTCTTCCAAGAGTCCCCCAGCCATGGTCCTGAGACACACCTAAGTCGATTTCCTAAAACGCCAGACCAGACCATGCTTCAGACTAAGATGCCAGCTCCACCACAGGCTAACCCTGCCCACTAGTTCCATGGTGGTCTTAGTTTGGTGTCTGCCCGCATAATGAATTGAAGTGAGACAGTTGTCTGAATCTGTTTCATAAATGCTAAATGTTTTGAGTGTTACCAGTATCTCCAGGCACTGCACTTGTATGTATGTTTAGTGATATCTGCTTCCGAGTTTGGAATGTGCACACAAGGCCTGTTCTCATCCCCTCTCATGATGGTCCCTTCTGAACTCTGAGCTTTTGTTCATCAAAATGTGACTGTAGCCTGGCCCCAGAGCTGGACAGAAATGTAGACTTCAAGGCCATACACAGTGGTGCATGCCTTTAGTACTAGCACTCCAGAGGCCGAGATAGGCATATATCTGTGAGTTTGAGGCCAGCCTGGTCTACATAGCAAGTTCCAGACCAGCTAGGGCTACATGGTGAATCCCAGTCTTAAGAAAGAGAAAAAGGAGAGAGAGAGAGAGAGAGAGAGAGAGAGAGAGAGAGAGAGAGAGAGAGAGAGAGAGAGACTGACTCTTCCGGCTCCCCTGGTTCTCAACCACACTTTTAGAAGATGTCCAGTGGCTCCTGAGAAATCTATCCATGTCGGTCTTGACCAGTTCTTGCCAGTGTAGTGAGAATATTCACGAGACTCCCCTCTAGCAAACTGCCAATGTCCCTGGAAAGACTCAGTGTTGCATGATTTCCAAGGATTCTTTTCCTCGTCCCAATTTTCAGGCTCTCTCTCCTTTCTCTCCTCCATCACAGTGAAGCCTTGCATCGACAACCGCTTGGAGAAATATTCCCAGCAGCCTGGCGCAGATTTCCTTTGCGATATTTACCATGACAGCCATCTCTCCAAAAAAGAACTATATGCTGCGGTCACTGAGCTCCAGCTTGCTGCAGTGGAGACGGTAAGGGTGGACGGGGACTCATTCTCTCCAGCAGTTACCAGAGTAGCAGCAACAGCCTCCCCAAACCAGTAGTAATAGTAAACCTCCCAAACCTCCCATAGTGCGTGCCTTGGGGAACGTGGGGGAACTCAAAGCATAGCCTGTTGGTCCTTAAGGGCAGAGCAGGGACATCGAGTAATAACATATTCTCCAATAATAAAGTCCTGAGTAGGCAGACATGGGAACTGACACGGGAATTTGGAGACAGTCAGATACCCAAACTCTGGCAAAATAACCTAAGTTTCTCAAGCTTCAGGGCTGGAGAGATAGCTCAGTTTGTAAAGTACTGTGTGGGCGTTCATGAGGACCTGATTTAAATAACAAAAAAAAAAAAAAAGGCAGGTGAGGTGGCCTGTGTATGCAATGCTAGGGCTGGAGATGTGGAAAAAGGAGGATCCCAGGGCCAAGAAGACTAGAGAGACCTGCCTTAAAAAATGAAGTAGAGAGTGGTTCAGGATGATGCTTGACGTCAACCTCCAGCCTCCACATGCATGTACATACATGTGCCCTGACATATGAGCACACACACGCTGCTATTTCAGTTGGGGTATACACCATGAGGGAACATTTTCTTTTTTAAGCAAGGGACTAAGTTGACCAATTTATGCTTTGACATGGGAACTATGGCTGGTGGGTGGAGAGTGTGAACCTACTAGAGAGAAATTAGCATCCGTCGAAGGCATCCATCGAAGGCCAGTTAAGGATAAGGGTGCCTTTCCCAACACAGGTCATGCCAGGACAGGCTAAGCCCTTGAAGTTTTCTTACCCACATCCCCTGGAATTAAGCTCTGCAGTTTTCCTGGGGGTGGGCAGACAGTGTGCCCCGGATGTGGTGAAAGCTGAAGTTACCCCCCAGCCCCACGGAGCACTATTTGCCACTTGTGGTGAGGCGCTCTCTAATACGGCTACACACCAGACCCATTTCCTTTTCAGTCCTGTTTATTCTGAAAGTCACATTGGGCGGATCAGAGCGGCTTGCCTGCCTTTAATTTGGAGGCCACGCCCTCTCCCCCGTTCTGTAATAATGGCATCCATGGTTAATTTGCAACTGAAGCCACTGGCCCTCTGACATGAAGAAGCCTGCCTGGGAGGCATGTTCTTCCAAAAATAACAAATACCAGTTGGCTCTGACCCGTCGTGTACCCTGCTCATTAGTGTGAGTGGGTCGTGGCACTCAGTCACAGCGCTGTGGCGTCTGCAGAGGAAGGATAGGACGGACCTCCGCGTTTAGGAGACTTGTAGCTTTAAGTCAGTGGCAGAGCAGCCGAGCGCGCGCGCACGCGCGCTCGCGCAACTCATGCTAGTGCAAATGGGGTCTGCTCCTCATTGCCTTCAGAAAAGACACCAAAGATGCCCTGAAAAGGCCACCAGCCTTTGTCAAAAAAAAAGCCTCTGACATCTTGGCATACTCAATTTGACGTTAGAATTTATTTATCACACACCTCGATCCTATCATGGCAGGGTGTTGCATCCTTCTGTAAAGGCGTTTTGCATGCGGATAGAACCCTGATAATGCCTGTTCATGTTCGTGGTGGATTTAGAGTGTAGCCAAAAAAGCTTTTATTAGGTTCCAGAAAGACAAAGTGCTATGCATTTAACTGCACTGGGAAAATATTAGAAAACCTTCCATTGGCAACTCTAGAACTTCTCCGCCCTTTCTTCACTAAGTTTTTTCATCAAGTTTTGTTCATTAAAACAGTTCTAGTTCAATTTTTTATTCGAGACAGGAGAGAGAGAGAGAGAGAGAGAGAGAGAGAGAGAGAGAGAGAGAGAGAGAGAGAGAGAGAGAGAGAGAGAGAGAGAGAGAGAGAGAGAGAGAGAGAGAGAGTCACATTTTGGTTCCAGCAGGGGCAGAAATAAGAGGATTTCTTTGTATCTCGCTCCGGTTTCCCCCTAGTGGTAGCATCTCGTATAGCAGTTAAAATATACCACGACCCAGAAATGAGCCCCAGCAGTCCCCAGATTTACCCAGCTCTTGTCAGTAGTGCATGCGTTTGTTTGTGCTCAAGCAGTTACATCCCACTGTGGTTCTAAACATGACCTTTTATCCGCCTGATGGCATCCTGAGGCCAGTTATCGGCAGACTCTCTCACCTGTGGATTGCCTTTCAGACAGCCAACAGCCTGATGTGGGTTCTCTACAACCTATGCCGGAATCCCCAAGTGCAGCAGAGACTTCTCCTGGAAATCCAGAGCGTGCTACCCGGGAACCAGATGCCACGGGCAGAAGACGTGAAGAATATGCCCTATTTAAAGGCCTGTCTGAAAGAATCCATGAGGTAAGGACACACCTCTGAGCCAGCACACGAGAAAGGGTTCTCTTTTGCTCTGGGCAATCAGTACATTACATCCCTAGAAAAGGATTCTCTTTTAGACCATAACAACGATACCTCAAGATGGCTCCTCTCAAGTTACCTCCCCCTGGCTGGTTATACACATCTATTAAGCTAGAGAGAAGTGTCTTGGGGTGTGTTGATGTTTTTATATTACTTACCTTCTCAGCCTTGTGGGCCAATCCTGCAGCCTGCCTCTGACAGATGCTGTCAGTAGGAGGGAGCCAGCTGTGATTGTAGGGTTGGAGATGAAGGCGAAGTGAGAAGACACAGAGACAGACATCTTTGTCCTTTAGCCTCTAGCTCTTCCTGGAAAGTAACCCCCCCCCCCCCAGTCTTGGATCAGAAGGCAATAGCATGACCTCTGTGAAGAGCAGTCAGCCATAGAGTAGCAGAAATGCAGGGTTAGGGTGAGGCAGGAGATGTGTACAGATGGAATGGAACCGGATAATCGATGAGCCACTAGCCAGCATTATATAATGTGGTAAGAAACTAGTGCGATAAGAAACAAGAGACATACATACTGAGAAGAAGGTATTAAAAAAAAACTTAGTTATTTGAGATTTCATTCAATATATCTTGGTCATGTTCATTCCCCTGCCTCAACTCTGCCCAGGTCCGTCCACCTCCCTCAGTCACTCCCCAGCTTTCTCCATCCCGGCAGCTGTCAGTGGCCAATGCCCCCCCCCCCGCCCCCGTGGTAAGAGGGAGGTTTCTTTCTCACCCTGACGGAACTTGTACAGAACTTCTGCTTCTCGTTCTGTCTCCACTCCTAGTGCCACATCGGGCTGAGTGGAGTGTGTGGCCCCCTTTCCAATTCTGCTTTTATTTCTCAGGCTTACCCCAAGTGTGCCGTTTACAACTCGGACTCTGGACAAACCAACGGTTCTGGGTGAATACTCTTTACCCAAAGGAGTAAGTACAATTTGTTACGCCTTCTCCTTAGCAAAGCTTGACAAGATTACACTTCCCCAAGCTTGTCACATCTCCCTGAAGCTTTGTAACCAGGAGAGCACTCATTCTGGGGATCCACAGAAGGGTCCACCCTCTTCTTCATCTGAAAAAGCAGAGAGAGAGGAGGCGGTCATGAACATGGAACACAAAACTCTCCGGAGTTTTGGGGCTGGGGAGGGGGTCTCAGCAGGGTCTGAGCTGTTGCTGCACAATAGTGGAAACCTGGGTCCGCATCCCCTCCTCCACCCTTGAAGAAAACTAGTTGTATGCAGGGCAGGCAGAGGAGGATCGGCAGTCTTTGCTGGCTGCCAGCATAAATCTAGGTTCCTGGAGTGACCCTGTCTCAAGGGACTAAGGTGGAGACTAGTAGAGACATCAGGAGTCATCCCTCTGTGTGTACACATGGGTACCTGTACTACCCCACACATGTGCATATGTTCCATGCTCTCACTAACACATGTCAAGTGATACAGCCATCATTGGTGTGTTTCTGTGAATTATTTTGCTTCTGGTTATTTAAAATATCGTCTTTTTCTCTGTGTGTTTGTGTGTGTGTTCTTTTTTAGACGGTGCTAATGCTAAATACCCAGGTGCTGGGTTCCAGTGAAGACAATTTTGAAGATGCCAATCTGTTCAAACCTGAACGCTGGCTACAAAAGGAGAAGAAGATCAATCCCTTTGCCCATCTCCCGTTTGGCCTTGGGAAGAGGATGTGCATTGGGCGCCGACTGGCTGAGCTGCAGCTCCACTTGGCTCTTTGCTGGGTAAAAGTCCTGGCTGGGTTTCTGCAGCCACGTTCTGGACTGTTCCCCCAAAGCAGGGGAGAGAGGGCTAACTCTGCTTTTTGTCTCAATGTGTGTTACAGATCGTCCGAAAATATAAGATCGTGGCTGCAGACAATGAACCTGTCCAGATGCTGCATCTCGGCATCCTGGTACCCAACCGGGAACCACCCATTGCCTTCTGTCGACGGTAGGATGCTGAGGTGAGTTTCTGGGTCCCTGTTGCCCTTGGGTGCCTTTCCTGACCAGGAGTGAGCCAGATTTGAAAAGGGTCTAGATTTAGTTTTATTTCCTTTCTCCCCACTCTTTCTTTTCCCTCCTTTCTTCCTTTCTTTTTTAAAGACTTTATTTCAAATGTGCGTGTTTGTGTGCCGGAGGAGTATGGGTACCTACAGAAGTTAGAAGATGGCATCAGATCCCCTGGATCTGGAGTTACAGTGACTGTGAGATGCCCAGATGACATGGGTGCTGGGAACCAAACTCAGGTCCTCTGCAAGATCATAAAGTCATCTCTCTAGCCCCACATAATGTCTCTCTCCTTTTTTTTTTAAACACTGTTGGCCTATTTTCTTTCTTTCTAACTTGGGCCCAAGTATGCTGCTCAAGCCACTGTGTTGAGAAATCGCTCCTGTAGTAAACCCTGAGCTTTGTCAGTCTGGTTGGTCTCTCCTAATGTCCATTACAATGAGCTCAAAACCAGCGATGTGACCAGAAGTGAGATGGAGGCACTTTATTGTCTGATGTGTACGATGACATCTCCAACGTGTGGCTTGACAGTCACATGTTCGTGCTTGAAGCCAGCCTCTCTCTCTCTCTCTCTCTGTCTTTCCAACAACAGGATTAGGGTTTATTTGCTTGGGGTCAAGAGAAGGACCCAAGGAGGTAGGTGGATCATTTAGAGCCACATAGTTATGCATAGAACTTCTGAATGAGGTCCCAAAAGCACAGAAATAATTCCATACGGTCTGTAAGTGACAGAAAATGTATCAAACTCCGAGGAGAGGCCACATAAGTAGAATGGCATAAGAATTGTTAATTACAAGCCTCCAGGCATCAGCAAGGCCAGAGCACATATTTCGCTCAGTGAGCTACACTTTTGGCGGATACCTGTGATAGTTTTAATTTTAGCTTTTTTGTTTCCTGGTGATTGAAATACCCATTGTGGGCTATGATGGTCTCTACTTGATTTTCCAGATTTTTCTCCTCACCAAGATCAAGACCAGCAATCTTTCCCCTTCCGCAAGAACGGTGCTTATGGCTTCGGTGTTCCTAGATGGCAAACTTCAAGGACAAGAGCACGGCACAGCCCGCAGAGGACGGCACACATTGTCTTCTGTAGAGCTAGTCTAGAACCTATTGTCTAGACAATGATGTTTACTAAGACCATCAACTCAGGGAAGCACATGAAGTATGGGGCGGGGCGGGGCGGGGCGGGGCGGGGCGGGCCCCACCCCCAGACCGCACCACTGGTTTACATCAGCCAATCAGAACCCTCCTTGCTTCTACAGACCCGCTCAAGAGACTGTTGCTTCTCCCTCTTCTGTGATATCACTGGGAGGCCGACAGTCAGTCATTCCTGATGGTCAGCCACTCTAGTGAAGGTTGCTAAATGTTTGTGCTACCAAACCCAAAGAAGCAACCTTCATTCTCATTTCCAATTCAGAAACACAGACCTACTATGGTTTAATTGTCTGGGGGATCTGAGCGGGTCTGGCTGCCATTTATTATGACTGTTTCATGTAATATTTGTGGAAACACCAGCTGTCAACAGAGCTAAACCTTAGGTAAAAGCTCTCAGGCAGCTGTTTTTCCTGCACACAAGGGAAAATGTTGTTGGGGATTAGAGTCTGTCTATTTTAAGAAGTTTTTTAGCGAAGCCAGCTCCTTGCTTAAAGACGCCTTGTTCATGAGGAAGACTCTGTAATTTCTATCTCATTGGTTCCTTTCCTCTGTGGTCTTGGATGGATGAGTCAGCAGTTCCTAAACTGTGCATGTGTTGGCACATGTGTGCAGGCATGCATGTATGTGCGGTTGTGGGCTCTGGGAGTACTTTGCTTCAGTAATGCTTTTACAGAAAAGACATAGCATAACCAATTTAGGGTCTGCAGTGGGGGACTGTGTCCTGAAATTTAGTCACAGCTTAATGGTACTCCTTGCAACTTTAAGAATAGAATTTTCTGTGCCTTAATTTCTTCATCTGTTCAAAGTGATAACGGTAGCATAAGTGTACTTAGAGACTACCTACGCCAAGTGTGTAGTGTGACTTGAAGCCCCCAGGGAAAGCACGATTTCGTCAGTGCAAACTGTGGGATTATGCACTACTCACAAAACTTACAAATGTTTACATGTGATCTGTGCATTTTCTGACCAGCACTTTTTCTATAGAAGTTTACTGTTTACTTCTGTATATTTGATAAAGATTTCCCTTTTAGGTTATGGTTTTAGAACAATTCTGAAATATACATGGATATGTACATTTGAATGAGTATTCGTGTATGGCTAACACAGGTATATGCTTCCCCTCCCTTATGAAATTATTTTTAGAGTTATAAATCCAGACACTAAAGATGGAGTTCCGTGGTAAGAGTGTTTGCCTAATCTATGTGGGGCAAGCCCCAAGACTGCCAAAAATAAATAAAATGAACAATTACACCTTTGTTGTCAGATGTTTGTTTTTATATATTTGTCTTTCTAAAAAAATATTACATTTATTTATTTATTTATTTATTTATTTGGAGGCCCACCTGCCACATCGTACCTGTGGAGGTCAGAAGACAACTTAGGGAGTCAGTTCTCTCCTCTCAGCATGCAGGTTCTCAGCACTGAACTCACTGTCAGGCTTAGCAGCAAGCCCCTAACCACCAAGCCCCTTAGCCAGCCCCTTGAGCTACATCTTTGAATACTTTGAAAGTAAGAATGAATTTTTTTATTTAAATACCATGGAGATATTTTGTTTTGCTTTGTTTGTTTGTTTCTCTTTGCTATGCTTTATACACTACTTTTTAAAGTTGAACTTTGTTTTATTAGTAGAAAATGTGTGGCCATATTACAAGCCCTCACGGCCCTTACGAAAGTTTAGATTTTGACAGCCGGCTTCTTACCAGCTTTTCAAGTCACTTGCCCATGTCCCCACCACAGTTTTAGTGTTTATGTGAGCACTGTGACCAAACACCCGACAAGAAACAGCGTAAGGGGTGTGAATGTATTCTGGCTCCCAGTGGGAGGACATAGTCCATCATGGCGGGGGAGGCACAGAGACAGGAGCCGGGCTTCGTCTGCTGGGGCAGGAGGAGCGTGAGGCTGCTGGTCACGTCTCTGCACACTTGAGGGAAGTGGGATCAGGCTACAACCCCTTAGACTTCCTCCAGGTGGATCCCACCTCTCAAACAATGTCACCATCTGGGGACATGAACCCTTGGTGGTTTACATCCATTTGTATTTACATTCATATATTATAACCACCATCCCCATCATGCTGACTGTAACCTCTGCCTTTTCTCCTCTCGACCACTGTAATAACTCCAGCAACTCACCCTCAATTCTTGTCTGCTTTCTTCTCTCTCTCTCTCTCTCTCTCTCTCTCTCTCTCTCTCTCTCTCTCTATGCGTGCGCCGGCGCGCGCGTGTGTGTGTGTGTGTGTGTGTGTGTGTATCTTTCTCTGTGTGTGTAACTTTGTCTGTGTGTGTGTAACTTTGTCTCTCTCTCTATCTCTCTGTGTGTAACATTCTCTCTCTCTCTGTCTCTGTGTGTGTAACTTTGTCTGTCTCTCTGTCTCTGTGTGTGTGTGTGTGTAACATTGTCTCTCTCTCTCTGTGTAACTTTGTCTCTCTGTCTCTGTGTGTGTGTGTGTGTGTAAATTTGTCTCTCTGTCTCTCCCTGCCACTCTGTCTTTCTGTCTCTGTCATTCTTACTCCACTCTGCCCTCAGGTAAAGCAGGCTGGCTTCAAATTTGCTATGAAGTCAAGCTTGATCTTGAGTTTTCACTCGTGCCTTTATCTATCTCCTTAGTGCTGGGATTACAGTCATATGCCGCCATGCCCTACTCTTTTCAAATATCGATCTTGACGCCATCTCATTCCTACTTTGTGGCTGGCTCTCCACTCCCTTAACACAAATAACCAATTCTGTAAGCTGGCCTTTCCTGCCAGATGCAGCGATTGGATAGTTCGGCCTACATGAGCTATCCCTGGTGCCTCCGGACTCTGACACAGAGCCTCCCACCACTCTGCTGTAGTCCTTCAACCCTGCCCTCTCCAGATCACACACCCCTGCAGCCCTCCTCCTGTCTTCCTCCTGGCAACCCTTGGCCCGTTCCCTGCCACACACCATGCAGAATGCAGCTCCAGCTTCCTCTGGATAAGGCATATTCTGTCCACAGACTCTGACTCTGGGACCAGGAGCCTCTATGGGAGTGGCTCCTGGGGATCCCTAGAGACAGTGACCAGGGAGTGAAACTCAGGCTCTGTCATGGGATGCATTCCTAGGCACATTTAGTTCTCACTGTCTCCAGGTACGGTGACAAGGACAGCTTGAGGATCATCTTTAAGGGGCATCGCAGGTGCCCGTGACTAGGAGCAGAGCACAGAGAGGCCAGAGAAGGCCCACAGAAGGGAAAGGCACAGCAGAGGGTCAAAGGGGAACAAGGACAGTGCCTGCTGCCCCTTGTCTGCCCATGAGCAGGTCTCCTAGAACTGACTCTGACCCCACTGGTTAGAACTGTGACAATGAGGATTACTGAACTACTCCTCTGGGTAAAAGGGGGTGGTTGGTAGAGAAACTTCCAAGCAGGTGACAGGGCGAAGGCAGGCTGTAAGGGCCAGCTTCAACCAGTGTCCATCAGTCGGTCCTCCTTGGAGCACAGGGCAGGCTGGGAGGGTGAGGCTCCTGTGGGGCCGAGACCCCCAGTGGAGGCAGAGCGGTAGACAGGAGAGGGCTTCTGCTCTACTCCAGCCTCGTTTCAGCTACAAATCTCAACAGGGGACACCTTGCTCCACTGTGTGGTTCCGGATGTGGGAGTGTGTTACTTGTGGAACACGTGTGGACCCTTGACCTGAGTGGATCATGTCGTGTCGTTTTTGGAGCACAGAGGCAGAAGCCTCTTCTCACACTGTTCCTGTGGAGTCCTGAGCTACAGTCTCAGGGTGTGAGAGCTACTGTAAGCCTTAGAAACAGTATCTCTCCCTGCTGATTTCCAAACCCAAATCCCCAATGTCCCTCTGCTCCAGGGAAACACCCTTGAGCTCTGTGGCCTGCAAAGTCCAAGATGGTGTAAGCAGGGAAATCTCAGCTCTCAGAAATGATGGCCGTACCTGGGTTTCTGCCAGAGAGAAGCCATTCCTTGGCTACATGATGTGAGGTTTCCGCTATTAAATAGAGGCTAATACAGTTCGTGTTGCTGTGCTCTCATGAGGCTTAGAAGAAACTGGGATGTATTTTGCTCAGGACTTGACTCAGAGGAAGAATGGTGTCAGAACCCATACTTCTGGATCAAATATGTAAAAATGAAGTGCTTCCCTTTATAGAGGGAGGGAGTGTCAGGCAAAACACCCCAGGCCCCGGAGGGAAGGATGGGTGGTGATAACAAGCATAGTCTATGTTCCCGACAAATAGATGAGATCTAAGAGACAGGGCAATGAAAACTTCAGCTCTCCTGGAAAATTATCAAGGCAGTTAACAATCACTGTTTTAGTTCCAACGTTCTATAAGAGATTGCATGCTAAACATCAAAAACTAAGAGTCCACATATTGAATTTGGCATACGGTATGTGATTCAGTTATGGGTGCCCAACATCTCTGAGCCCATCGGTCTCTCCAGGCCTGCCGTCCATCGGTGTGACCTTGGCAGAGGAGTATGTGGTTAAACGGGCTATAATCTGTCTCTGTGATTCCCTTTAATGCTCAGATTGTCCTTACTTAGCCAGTAGACTCTCTTCAAGCAGATCCTGGTGAGCGCTCAGTGTGTTGAATCCTGGGCCCTCCCGCCTGCAGGAACAAGAAGATCGTCCACAATCCACTCTCCTACTCTGCCTGCCCCGGCTCAGGAAAGCCTCCCCTTTAACAAGATAAAAAAAGAAATCCTGGTTTGTTTCAATAGAGAATGGCTTTCAGACACCGAGATCTCAGTCCTGGGTGCAGTAGTCTAGATGCCCTGGGCATCCAGACTTAGGAATGGTGTGTGGAGAGGAGGGGAGGGGAGGGGAGAGACAAACATATGAGGGCAGGGGGGAGTAAGGAGAAGAAACACAGATGATCAAAACCTGGCTGAATGGTTTATGGGAATTCTTTGTACTGTTTTGTAGCTTCTCTGAAATCATGTCAATATAACACAATCCCCAATACAATGCGGCACAGAGCAGCAGTTCTGTTACGAAGCTAGTGGACAGAAGCTGGTAGCTTCTCTCTGAACCCCAGGTTCTCCACTGTGGGATGCTGGGCAAGTAGGGTCTTTTTTGGGGGCGGGGTCTAG